ACAGTCACAATGAATAGGTATTGTAGGCATAGGCCTCCGAATAATTGGGATGTCTACTTATAGATTTATTAGCCATTCTGCCCCCTTATTAGTGGCTTCCAGGGAAATCAACGCCGATTCCATACTAGATTTAGATGTACAAGTATGTTTCTTGGAACCCCAAGCAACATCACCCCCACCAAACGTGAATATCCATCTGCTAAAAGACTTAGATTCATGAAAATACGTAATCCAGTTTGCATCGCTATACCTTTCCAATAGAGCGGGCTCACCTACATAGTGTACGGCATAGTCTATAGTTCTCTTGAGATATCTCAAGATCATATAGACCGCATTCTAATGCTCTTGACCTAGGTTATTGGTACAGTACAAGACATTATCTACAGAATATACATAATACATCCAATGAGTCTAACGTCGTCTAATTGGGAAACATGACCACCTTAATTCTTTCCGAGTTTAATATGAGCATCATAAGGGGTCGAAATTGGTTTGCAATCAAAGTAGTCAAATCTTTTGAGTAATTTCTCATTATAGTAGCTTGGGTTAAAACATACCCAGTCGGTTTTCTCACTATCTTGATTCCAAGTATTATGTCAGCTTACCCCATGTCTTTCATAGTAAATTCAGAAGATAAGAATTTCTCTGCGTCCTTATGCATGCAATATTATTGCGTAGTTTGAGCATATCATCTACATACAGGTAAATTATAACAATATTACCATTAACAACTCTGATGTACGCACACATGTCGACGTCACTGATTTGCAATCCATGTAATAAATTGAATTTTTCATGCCATTGTTTAGGTGCTTGTTTTAATCTATACATGGATTTCACAAGTTTACAAACCTTGTGTTCGTATCCTTGGAGGACAAATCCTTCAGGTTGCTCAATGTAAATCTCTTTACTTAGTTCACCATGGAGAAAAGTAGTTTTGACATCCATTTGGTGAATTTCTAGATGGTAGATTGATGTGAAAGAAATGACTACTCGAATGGTAGCTATTCGAGCAACTCGTGCGTACGTGCCAAAGAAATCAATAACATTTTTGTCTAAATCCTTTTACAACCAGTCGAGCTTTATACGTCTCAATAGTACATGTGCCTTTTTCTATTGAAATATCCATTTACATCCTAAAGGCTTAGCACCAAGAGGTAAATCCACAATATCCAAGTGTCATTTTCTAATATAGATTTCATCTCATCATTAACTACCTTCCTCCAAAAAGGAGCGGCACTTGAGGACATGACATGGTGGAAACTTTTAGGACCTTCTTCTAATAAATACATTTAAAAATCAGGACCAAAGTTAGTTGGTTTCCTGATTCTCTTACTTCTCCTGGGTTTTACGCTTTCAGGGTTCTCATGCTCATCAATTTTACGCTTGAGGATCTTCATATTCATTTATTATCTTACCAATAAAAAAGTGTTCAAAATATTATGCATCCCAGGATTATATAATTATATTAGATTCTAGGTCCAAAAATCTATAGGCCTTGCTATGTTCAATATAGCCCACAAATCCACATTTAATTGTTTTAGGTCTAAGTTTGGGCCTCTCAAAGATCAATAAGCCTAACCAAGGCAACACAATCCCAAACCTTGAGGAAACCTGGAAAGAAAGGTTTCCTTCTGTTCCAAAACTCATATGCCGTAGCAATAGATTTTAAATATGGTATATGATTCAAATATAACAAGCAGACATTAAAGCCTCTCCCCAAATATTAGTAAGAAGGTAAGAGCTGCTGAGCATGTAATTTATCATATTCACAAGTGTGCGATTATTTCTTTAAGCTAAACCGTTCTCTTGCGGTGCGTCTGAGGTAGTAACCTGATGAATAATTCCACTTTCTTCACAAAATTTATAAAATTCAATGGAACTATATTCATTGCCTCCGTCACTTCGTAAAACTTTAATTTTCAAATTTAATCGTTTTTCAACATCATTTTTTGTAAATTTTGAATTTTTTAAGTACTTCATCTTTGTTTCTAATTAAATAAACATAGGTACATCTTGAAAAATCATCAATAAAAGTGACAAAATATGTCTTCCCACCACGAGTCTGTATATTGCTCAGATCACAAACATCATTGTGTATCAATTCCAGTAACCTGGAACTTCGTTCCACTTTTAGAAAGGATTTCTTTGTAATCTGAGATTGTATACATACATCACACAGAGTATTTTCCAAATTTTCACACTTGGGAATAAGGATTAGAGAACTCATGTTTATCAAAGCATGATAATTAACATGACCTAATCTACCATGTCACAAAGAGAGAGAATCAAGCATATACACAGAATAAAAGGTATCTAATTTATTGAATACATTGAGCTTAAACATGTCTTCAGAGGCATATCCCATGTAGAAAAATATTTCATTCTTCAACAAGATAAACTTGTCGGATTCAAAAAAAAGTTTGAAACCCTTCTTATTCGACAAGTATGCAAACACTAAGTTTCTCTGGATTTCAGGGGCACGATATACATCAAGAAGAGTTAGGACTTTACTGTACATAAATTTCAATTCTATCGTCCATTTGCCAACTAGTTTTAAGGAAGAAGAATTGGCCATATAAAGGATAGTATCCTCCCCCATGATTTTGTAAGTCCTGAACAAGTTCTTATTATTTGAAACATGTTTGGTGGCTCCAGAGTCTGCCCTCTACAGCATTAATTCGGAGATAATGGCAAAACATTCTATCCAGTCTGAGCCTGTTGCTTCTTTTGAAGTCTATAAAATTTCTACATATGATCGGCTTTACAGTAAAAGTAGCATACTATGGGTTTCTTACCTTTGTCTTGTGTTGCCTTTAGTTTGTAATTTTTCTTTTCTTCCCTCTTCTCTTCTTGCTTTTCATTAATCTTGACTCATTTTTCAGTTTTCTGCTTCTTTCTTCCCTATACTTCAATAACATGTGCTCTACCAATTATCTGGGATTGATGTTCATGTATATCTCGGAGTCTAGTTTATTCTTTAATTCTTAGATGAGTCATTGATTGTTCTAGACTCAAATCTTCATATTTGTGCATCAGAGCATTTTTGTATTCTTTCTAAGAGGGTGGCAATTTATCAACTATAGCACCCACATGGAATGACTCATCAAACTTGATGTTGTTTGCTCCAAGTTCATTTGCTATGATTTGAAGATAATGAATTTGAGTTATAATTGGTTTTTCTTCAATAATTTTAAAACTGAAGTATCTACTAATGTGATATTTCTTTTTTTTAGCATCTTTTTCTTTATACTAAATTTTCTTTTTAAAGCTCTTTTGTAGTTGGCATTCTAGAATAAAGATCAAATAGAATATCACTATTAGCATTCAGGATGTACCAATTTTGCATTACTGTAATTATTTATTATTCATCACTTTAATTATTATAGTGACGCGACATTGTGTTATTCACTATGCATTTATTTTTCGTGTTGACACTGCGACCCATAGATGGAAATTAACGTGATGCTATAGTGAACATAATCAATACACTGTGACAAAGAGGAAAAAGGAGAGCGTGAACCTCTCGGATTATACTATATAGACCATACGATTTACGTGATCTTGCATGTACTATTCATATGGTCTTGTATGGTACTATGCATCAGCACAATACTATCCATTTGCATAATATTATTCACAGCACAATACTATTCATTTGCATACTATTTTTCACAATTGTAGTTCTTATGACTACAAACGTTTAAAGTCTTTTTTTTTGTTTTGGATAAATACAATCGTTTAAAGTCCAAACACTATTGTCTTGAAACATATGAAGCTAAAAAGCTAGCGTACACAAATTAAAATAAAAATTAAAATAGGGGTTTATAGCTTGAGAATTTAGAGGGAACATAAAAAAAAAAAGAAAAAATATATATAATGACAGATTTTCAGGAGGGAACACGGTTGGGACCCATACTAACTTAGAACCAATTCAGTCCGAGCCAACTCCCAACCAAATCAACTGCCGAATTTTAATACATTAATCTTAACCAAGGATGTTAATCACCCCCAAAAGTAGATTTCCATGTCACTCTCTTTTACACACACAAACCACTTGCAGTGAGAATGAGGCGCTCAAGACGGCCACCTCTCGCTCTCTCTCATGTAATTGAACGCGGCAAAAGCAGTTTCGTGTGCCCCAGCAGTCCACATCAATATTTGGTGCGGCATTTGTCTCGCACCAGTCTTCGTCGTGATAACTTCATGACAGGGACAATCAAAATCCCACTGCGTCACTCAAGATGCCTACCCATTTCCATTACCAGCGGCCCTTTGAACAGGATAAATTATTTGCTGCTCCCTCGGGAGTAAACTGTGAACTCCCTCGGTTTAAACCTAACGCTGCTAGTATTGTCTTGACTTCAAAATTTGAGGATGTAACTTCTAGAACCTACCAACCAACTTCAAAAGAAAATAAAGAATGAATACAGCTCTCTGCACGCTGCCAAAAAAATAAAAACGTTGTAAGACTAAAACAAGAACAGTCCAAATTTCGATAAGATCTAAGCATTCAAGAACTCAAAATCCTAATTTTTCATAGAAATAATCTATCTTGTGATACTCAAATAGATCCGAAAATTTTAGATCCCAAGAGTCTGTGAATATATTCCCCCCAGGAATGCACTCGATAATACTATTTCAAAAAAAGAGTGATATTTTAAAAATAATAATAATAAATAAATAAATCTATTTGTCAACTAATCATTATGTTAATAATTTATTATTATTATTATTATTATTGAAGACAGATTCCTTTTTGAAAGAGGGTTAGATAAGGAATTTTCGGAGATGGGACACCCTTCATGACGCAATGGCCCACGTGTCTATGAGAGCGTAGTCCTAAAAGGCGGATACACGGATAGTTTCAAACTCCACATGAAGTTGACGCGCCTGCGACACGCGTAGGACACGATTAATCAACTGCCGGAAGTTTCCTTGCACGTGCGGAAACCTTCCTCTTGCTACTTATATATCATGCATCTCTGCAACCAGTTTTTATTTCCCATTTCCCATCCTTCAACTCCACTCCCATTCCTTGAATTCAAATTTTCTTTCCCGAAACGTCTGGTCTTTGTTTGATAACTCCGTTCGTGACAACAGGATATATCCATCGATCCATCATTTCTGGCTCCATTTTGATCTTTTCGAATAAGATTTACAGGGTTTTCGAAGTTTTGAAATCCCTTTGCTTTTCTTTCTGTCCCTCTCTAAGCGATTTGAAACATTTGGGGCTCACTGCTGTTGGGTAAAAAGGTGATGGTTTCATTGATGTCGAGGACCGGAAGGCATCTCCAGCGCTACGATAATGGACGACGCCTCATTGCCGGGTAAGTGTGGGAACGCTCTAGTGCGAGAGCCAGCATTGGTTTCTCAAATGCAAGTGTGGGGACATATGTGCTAACTGGTTTTTAAAGGATTAGGGTTTTCTTAATGAACCAATTGATGCTTTTAGTTTATGCAATTATGCGACATTGATCAGCACTTCGAAGTTGTTTCAAAGCAATTTTTCATTTTTTAATAAACAAGGGGCAGGGCTTTTCTCATGAACTTCTAGCTTTTTTCATGTTTGGTAGTTTTTTCTTTCAAATTTTCATTTTTTCCTGTTATCTTCTTTTTAGGGTTTTAGCTGTTTAAGGCACATTGAAACTTAGTTCCTGGATTTTTTCCTGCGTCTTATTAGTTTTGTTATTATATGAAGCAGATGCATCCCATATAGGTTTACAACAGAAAAGCTTAGCGATAATGGCGAAGGCAAAACACTAGAAGTGCTCATGATCAGTTCACAAAAGGGATGCTCATTGCTATTTCCAAAGGTAATAAAAATCTTAGATATTGCCGCATTTACAATAGGGCTAATGCTCATGCCGGAATAGTGAACAGAATTTAACTTGTTTTCTGATACATTTCTCTTGAATGTTGGTTTATGATATATATTCTCTTTTCTTTTTTCAGGGAGGATGGGAGAAAGATGAATCACTAAAGGATGCTGTTCGTCGAGAGGCTCTAGAAGAGGCCGGTGTCCAAGGAAAGATCGAGGTTCGTAGGCTCTTAACGCCGCACTCTATTCTGAGTAGCATCTTCTCTATCTCTATAATGCTAAAGAAATTGAATTTCTTCTACAAGAAAACTCCAATTTCTGAATAGAACTAATGGGGACCTATTATGCAGAAAAGGCTCGCTAGATGGACATCAAAGAGCAAAAGGGGCTACATGTTTCCGTTGCGTGTAACCGAGCAATTAGATCACTGGCCTGAGAAGCACATTCGGGAGAGAATGTGGGTGAGTAGAGAGGATTGAACTGAACTAAGAAGTTTGATTTCTTATTAACGTTTGTATATAGTTCATGATGATTTGAATTGTGAACAGGTTAGTGTTGCTGAAGCAAGGGAGATGTGCAAATATCCATGGATGATGAAAGCTCTTGATCAATTGGTGAGCCGCTACACGAGTGATCCTGGCCAAACAATGCGTAGAATTTCGCCTCATGAGAAGGAAGAACATCCTGATTCTCTGCAAATAGCACCTCATTGATTGTGCAATACTGTAATTCTTCAATTCTTTCCTTCATTTTAATTTACAATGGTGGCATTGCACCATAATTTAGGAACAAAATAAGGGCTCCAAGGAACTGGCTAGTATGTAAAGTGTAAACACTAGCTTAGGCTTGGGATTTGAACCCATGATACAGCGCTTTAAGACCCAAAGGGAGGGGAAACAGCATTCATTGGCTCATTAACATTCAATGTGCAGTCATCAAACAATAAATGTTCTTGGATTTGAAGCCACAACCCAGTGGTTCATGTTTTAGAATTTTTAAACCAATGAATCTACTTTTCAGATGTTTATTTTTGGTCTGCGTTCTTTTGTTAAATCAAATTTTTTATTGGGGTTGATTGCAGTTCATCACAGAGCCAAATAAATACACTTCAAAAACACATTCAGTGCTCCCACACCCACATGCATACTTCCATACCTGAGGAAACCCACACATAAGAAATCTTCATGAAAAGGATTCCACGAAACGATGGTGATCAATCATGGATTTCTCCACTTCCATGGAGAAACTTTGTACGTGGTCCATTGACAAAATTGCGAATATTTATATCAGTTCTGGCCAATGTTTGTAAACTCGGCTCGGGTATTGGACTCGGTCCTGGCCCAAGCCTAATAACTCGGCCCAGTCCAAATGGACTCTTCATGCGAGTGTCGGTCAAAAGGGAGGGAAATCTTGTGTGTAGGATCTGTTCTTATCAGGTTACTATTAATGGATGCGAGACCCACATGGCCAGATGATATT